AAAAGAGGAGAAAAAGAAAATAAAAAAAAAAAAAGAAAGAAAAAAAGAAAGAAAAGAAAATCACTGTTGCCTTTTATTTGAGTTCCTGATATTTTCAGCTTCTGAAAACATTACCTCAGTCAACTCTCTGCACTAAATTTTTTTATGATAGGAATAAAGTTCTTTTCATTACAAATAAAAAAGCATACTCCCCAGCATAGCGGCCCTGCTATCATATCTAAGGCACCTCCCAGGGTAGAGCTATCCCAGATTAGAGAATTCTCACTGGAACCAGAGGCTGGATTGCACTTTTCATTTCCATGCACCACGGCAGACAGGAGCAGCTGGTGGGATCCTTCGGAAGCGATGCTGTGCTGGTAAGTGGCTTCACTGCACTCAGCAACACAGCAATTCCCAGTGACCCCATAAATTGCAGCCTAGGAAACACTGACTAGTGCCTGGTCTCGTTTATCACAGACTGTAGGAGCTGTTGACTTCCTCCTGTGCCTCATTCCTCCTGAGGAAAGGGCCATGACAAAGGGAGGGAAAGGTGGAGCTCACTGCAGGCGCCAGCTCCTCACAGCAGTGACTATTTTGCTCCTGTAAAACAATTGCTGAAGGCTGAAATCTGCTGTGCCTTAAGCCTGACAGTGAGAAGTGTTTTGTTGCTTTCCTCCCAGCTCTTCCACCCAGCTGGGACATCAGCAACCCACATTTTCCTCTTCATGCCTTGCTTACCCTCACCCCTCAGCTTTGTGGCTGGGGAGGATAGTAATGACTCCTTTCAAGCCCTTGTGCCGGATTGATCACAAAGATCAAGGTGAGTCAGTGATCTCCTGGAAAGGTTTGAGAAGATGCTCTTTAAAACCAGCATCCCTGGCACCAGCTGAGCAATGAAAAGCTCAAAAGCCAACCCACAGCTCCTGTCCTGCAGTGCTGCCGTGGCAAGCAGGGCACAGCCTCCACGCTCTCCAGCAGAGTCAGAAGTCTTGCTGCCAAACCCACGCACAGCCTCCTCCCACAACTCCGAGATACTCCCGGTGGTTTTGTCAGCACAGCAGAATAGAAGCATGAATATACACAGATACTGTCAAGGACAGCAAAGAGCAATCAGCACAGCCAGCACTGCTCTAAATGCTGTCAGAATATTTATAACCTGAGTGTTCTGCCCAGGGAGCTGCAGCCTAATTTAGGCTCCTGTTTCCTGCTTGCTTTCCTCTTCCCAAACACATGATAGTTTTCTATCATTAATCTCCAGAGTCTCATACTTCCAGTGTCCTGAACTTTTATTTCACCTTTCCTGGCAACACTCACAGGATCAGGCCCATGACAAAGAATAAATCATTCCCAGGTGTCTGTGCACACACTTGAACAAGATTAGTAAAAGTGGCTTCACACAACAGGCTACTCAGTCCCAGCTGTATCCTCACATCTTGGTTTCAGAGTGACTCCTTTCAGATTCATTCCTACTCTTCCAGTCATTTTCACCAGACCAGAAGTCAGTCCTGCTCAGCACAAGGGATTGTGCTGCTCCTTTTATCCTCAAGCTCAACCACTGCAGTTCTGTGCACTGGTGCAGATATCAAATGCAGGGGGATTTTAGAAAATTAACTGGCAGCCACGAGGAAGGATTTTTCCTTCCAAAATCATAACCAGATTTGAAGCAATGTGAAAGTCCCGACAGGAGCAGGCACAGAGGTGAAGAAGTTCACAGCTCCTACCACAGTCGTTTCACTGGATGGAGTTTCTGCCCCAGTTACCACAGGGTGAGGGAGGGAAGGACACACAGCCTGACCACCCACTCCTGCCTCTGGCACCTTACTCAGCCTGGGTGAAGGATGCCCCCAAAAATGGCCCACATCCCCAATACAGCCTCTGACCTCCTAACTCTGTGGCCTCTGTGCATTTTCAGACTCACGTCCCCTTCAGAGGGTCTTTTCATACTCTGCCTTTGCCACAGCCTCAAGAAATATTGTGCCTGCAAGACCCTAAAAGATGAGATTGCTGGACTTCTCTCAGCTTGCACTTGAAGACGAGCACAGCTCATTTCCTAGGCACAGGAGGAAATGTCTTCCTTGCCTTCAACCAGTCGTGCACATCACACAGAGGAACAGCAGATTAAGGACTTCACCAGTAATTGCTATTAATGCTAATGGGAAATGTATCTATTTGAAAGATGCACTTTTAGACAGATGTGCACTGAACAGAGGTAACTGAAATGCTGCAGGATGGCATTTTGTTCATGGAAAAAAACCCCCAGAGCTTACTGACTGAAACCACTGACCCTCATTGGCATTGGAATGGGAAAAATTATCAAAATGTTTTCAGTTTGTAATTCAAATTATAATCAAGCCCAAACAAAAGGTATTGAAAATCCCTCAACACTACCAACAAAAATCAAGGACTTTTGCTAACTAACAAATAATTCAATTACTCACCCGGCACTAATGTGAGGGCAGAGACCCGGAGCGTTCCCTGCCATTGGCGCGGGGAAGAGGTAGGTGGGTAATTCCATTAGCACCGTGCAAGTCCCTTCACATAAATCTTTGTGGCATTAATGAGGAAACGAGGCATCAATAATACAAGAAGTTTGGTTCCTTAGATCCACTTCTGGATCTCCAGCAAGAGCAACCCAGGTTTCCCCACCTCTGCCAGAGCACAGTTTGCGCATCCCTAAATCTTCACATGGGCTCAGGATTTGGGCTCCACTGCAGCGGTTTGCGGGCATCACTGTGGCCCCGAAAGAAGGGAAATGTAAACCCTTGCAAGTAACAAGAAACACAAGTGCCATTTCCTCAGCGTTCACAAATTTGGATGCCCCTTAAAAGCTGTGTATTAAATGACACGGCAGAGGAAGAGAAGGGGTTAACCATTCAAGAGTGAGCAGATTTGCTCGGTGCAGCAAAGGCACAAAGCACTTGACTCTGTAACATCCTCACCAAGTAATTGTGTGAAGGCTCTCGGTGTCGCGGCTATTGTTTCATCTCCTTATCGGCACGGCACACTGCCGCCGGCTCCGAGGCTCTTCCCAGAGAGGGCTCCCCCCGGAATGGTCGGCATGTTCACACACACACAGAGCCCCATTATGATGAAAGTGCTCCCAGCCCCTGCCCATCTTCCTGCCCGCTTTTTTTGCAGACTCGCACGATGAGGAGCAAAGAAACAGGTTTTGCTTTTAAGTTAGAAAAGTAGTGCTGCTGCAGGGGGAAAAAAAAAAAATAAAGGAAAAAGGAAAAAACCTGGCTGCTATTCTGGTGGTGTTTCTTCCTGGGAAAGCTTGGTCTCCTGGCCTGCTAGACCTAGAGATAGGACCTGTCATATAAACAGTTCATGTTTCCCAGCAGCTGCTGCTACGTAATCACACAAAACTTGTTTATAATTGAAATCATAAGTTATTTCAAATATTGGTCTTATTTAAAAAAGACCACCTTTCTCCAAAGCCCAAAAGGAGGAAAATAGCAACTACCTGGAGGACAGACACCCACTTGACTGAAATTTCTGTGTGGCAAGGCCACAGCGACCACCTGCCATGGGAAGACAGGAGCTCAGTGGACTGCAGCTGGAAGAAAGGACAGGGACTTGCTTGAGTGCCTTTTCAGCCAGGGCTAATGGAAGAGGAACACAGAACCCTGCACAGCTTTCTCTTCTTCAACACCTGGAAGGATCTTATTTTCCTAATTCCGAAGGGAAAGAATTGATTTGAAATTTTGTGGTGGGTTTATGAGCTTTTGGCTTTACCATGCACTTTTTTTTTTTTTTAGGTACTGGAGGAGAAAACAGTCCAAAATAACAAGTTTTGTTCTTGATGGCTCTTCCTTCTGGCCTACGAATGCTCCTTACTCATGACTTTCACAATTTCAAATGAACTTCTCCTTGTGCTTCAACCCTTCAGGAGCACATCAAGGGAAGATACAACTGGACACATGGATCACAAACCCATCACATTATCAATATACCAGCACTCTTCTGCCAGGCTGCTCTTTCTAAACTTTGATGCTCTTCTCATTACAGGATGCAAAATCAGGTAACAGAGGCAAATCTCTCTTCCCTTCTGACCAAATCCTAAACTCTTTCCTGCTGGTTAGGTATGAGTCTACATCCCAACCCAGCAGACACAACCTCTCCCATGTTGTGCTACAATCACTGCACTAAGCAGTTTGGGGGGTAGAGACATACCATTAATGTTTATTTTTGCCTTCCCAACACTGCCCCTTCTTGGGAAGAAAAGCTTTGCAATAACCTTGAGCTTTGCAGGAGTCACAGAAGATCCGAGTGAAGCTTTCAAGGTCCATCTTTCCATCTCCCAGCCAGGCCCTCACACACCTGGATTAACAAAAGTGCTCATCCTGCAATTATAGGGCCTTGCCCTGACACAGGCAACGTGCCAGGTTTGTGGCTGCATCTGTCCTGCCCCAGCTTGGCTAAAGACTTGGCTAGATCTGGTTTGAGCAGTGCTGTGCCTCTCAGTAAACATCCAGAGCTTTGCTAAAACAGGAGCTGGAGGACCTCATGCCACCAGAGAGCCTACTCTGCCAAAATATTTTTCCCCTTGGGCTTTACAAACCATTTTGCAACTGTGTTGGCAGCTCAGGAATTTAATTGCAAGTCTCATGATATTGGGTGGTGGTTTTAATGAAAACTCTGGCTCCTGGGGAATTCAGGAGTCTCAGGGATCATATAAAACCAATTAAGTCCTCTAATTGCAGCAGCAACCTGAGAACACCCAGCAAGAGAGTCCTGAAGGATGGAATCTGAAGGTAAATAAAAAGACCCTCTTCCTTCCCTGTGCAATTTTTATACAAGAAAATGCTCTCAGGATTTTCAAACAAATGACATGGGAGGTCGAAGTCCTACGTAACAAAGCTTCAGTTTAGAAATATTAATATTACTATAGAATGGGCTGGCAGGGAGAGAAGATAACAATTGCTTTAAGCACTAGTAATGACTTATTTTTATTATACTAATAATAAGATTAAAGCACTTTCACTGTAGCTTGGAAGGGATAAAACACATACCTTGACAGCAGCCATTGGAAATAGGGTAACACCAGGCAGTTTAACAGCCAGGCAGAATTACCATTTGCATCCCTTTGACATTGATATATCACCAGGCTGTGAATTCAGCAGGATTCAGGGATTACAGGGCAGCTCTGGAGTGTCTGGAATAGAAGAAAAACACACATGAAGTTTTAAAGGAAACTAGAGCACTGTGAGTTATGTCAAGTTTAGGTCTGAAAATCAGTATCCCACCCTTTCCTAAATCTTGGAACCCAGGAGCCAGTAAGGAATAAAGCCTGCGGTATTTATGATTTAATGGAAAGGATATGTCTGTGTTCACAAATCCAGCTGGCTTGCAGAGGAAGGGAATAAGGATGGCCAGAGTCTCATATTCTAGCTGTAAATGATGATTCTTTCCTCCCATTATTTTCTGGTTATTAAATTTAAGTTGAAAAAGCAGTTTTCCTTATGTTTACACACCCACACTGTTAATTGGAAGTATAACGATGTCTGTTTATGGCCAGGAGTGCTACCCCTGTTTGGGAGAAACAGGTTATTGTGCAAAATTCATGTAATTGGTTTCCATAGCCCAAAGCAAATCAGGAATAATTTCTTATAGCAGAGGAGCAGATTTATCCTGAAGTGTCCCTTGAAATTTCTCATTCAAAGGCTGATGGCTCTAATGACTGCCTTCAAATTGCTATCAGTAAAAGTCTAAGCAAAAATGAAATTCAGTGTGCAATTTGGCAAACAGCTGTGCGCTCACAGCCTTCAGCGACTAATCTAATCTGGGCTTTAATTTCTCTTTGTGCAGATTTGTAACATATACAGGCTTGAGTTTAATAAGGCCATTAGCACAAGTAGATTTGCTCAGGCCCACGAGTGCTTGCAGGATGAGATCCTGCCTACAGTGGGCTGGCACCAGGCCAGCCCCATCCCTAACTGGTGTCATACAGGCACAGAAGGCAACTTGGATTTTCCCCTTTCCCAGCAGGTCTCTTACTGACCCCTGTAGTAAAAACTTGAAACCAAATGACCCCAGCACAGCTCTATGCACAGACACAAACCTCAGATCCCATCTCAGCCTGGTCTATGCCCGGATAGATGCACTGACCTGCTCCTGAAGCCTTGGGAGAGTCTCCTTTTGCAAAGCAATCAGCATTTGCACCCATCTCTTCCCTGCTGACCCAGAGCCAACAGGACAGTGCAGGAGTGAGTGAATTACCTGCTATTTCATTCCCTCTTCGCTTGCAGATGAGCTTCCTGCATTCAGAGTGAGGGACTGCCTCTGATTAAATTGAATCAAATGTCTGTGTTTACGAGACGTTTTGACCGACAAATCATTTTCTCCTGTCAGACTGAGATATGACAATGATGATAACTCAAATTTTTGGAGTCAAATGGCTTTGGAAAGCTTTCCTGCCATCACAGTCCGTGAATGTCAATGGGTTTAGCTAAGTGCAGTGAAGACTGATGGCAGCCCTTCCTGCATCTCCTTTTCCCACCAGAGCTCTATGTAAAGCTGCCTGGCAGGTCTGCCCCAAGACGTGATCAAAGAAGAGACTCTACTTTATTTATGATTTGCACGATATTGAATTTATCTTTGCTTTCCCCATTAAAAACGGGTTGCAAAAGATACTGCTATGAGTTAAACACTGAATTAATTTCCTTCTGAAAAGAGAAATCTCCCTGGAATACTGAGGTGTCTAAACAACTGAAATATGTTTCCAGAGTAAGTAATGACACTACTATTAAAAGAAAATTCAGAACATCATTAAAAGCCGTAACACCCTATTATAGAACTACAACTCATTGAAGTAAATGAATGAATACAAATCCTGACTTTGACTCTTGTTTTTCAACCACTTGTTTCTGGGAAAGGAGCCCCAAAATTCCTCTGGTACCCTTGTGGGAAAGCCCAGGAGCTTTTCACTGCTCTTTCATTTAGCCTGCACCATCCATAGAAAGCTTTGAGCTACATTTTGAAGCCTTGCTTTGCAAACATAAAAGAACTGGTTGTTTTTGCTGTGTCAACCCCTTGGTCCATCTTTAAAATCCAGAGAGTTTGGCAGCCACGTTTAGCATAAAGCAACAAAACAGGTAAAGAGAGCTCAGACACTGTATGTCAAATTACCATCCATCACCTTTGCCTTCCTATCTCTAGAAGTGAGGCTGAACTGCCTCCTTCCTTAGCTCCCTCTCCATTTATTTTCTTTCCATGGGGATACCACAAGGAAATGGTGAAGAAAGCAGAAAGGGAAAAGGAAAAAAGGCACAGCACAGGTCACACCTCTGCTTGGGGCCCTTTCACTCCTCTGCGTGGAAGGAAGAGGAAGGGGGAGAAAGGGGAAGAAAAACCTGGGAAATAGCACGAGGCCGAATAACAGACTGGGAAAAAATACAGCAGCTGGATTTGCTGGGTGAGAGAGGAATACAAGAGCAGATTGAAAACTAGCCCCAAAAGAGCAGATCCTGGAGGAATTTAATGGAAGCTAAATATTGATAAGAAAACAGTTTAAGTAAAGCAACAGGGTAAACAGGAAAAACAACACAGATAATTCTCCATATTAAAAAAATACAACATTTTTGTGGAAGTAAAGTAGCAAAGATTGTTGACAAAAGCAATTTCAACTAGGAATAATGGTCACTGAAACCCCTGGAAGCTTTTACATTGTCTTAAATATACACTGTACCAGACCCCCAGCCTCTGAGCAAATAATTGTGGGATGAACCAGGTGTGCAAGCAGCTATGGGGTGCTCTTATGTGGTCTTTAATAATGCAAAAATAATCCACAAAGTAGAATTTAAGATGCATCATTCATGCCTAGTAATCAACATGTTTATTCATGGAAAGAAAATTGGTTCGAACCTACACTGTGGTCAGGAAATTAAGAGCTGGAATCAATGACTATCCAAACAACAAGACTTGATGCAGGGATGGAAAACCTTAGAGAAGTCCAGGTATCTGGATCTGTCCAGGACTTCAGTGACAAGGGAGGCATTTTGCTTATGTTCTATCTCCAGCACGTCTGTGCAAAGTGGGCACCTGACAGATGAGCTACTTGGCGACTGTTCAAGAGTCAGGAACAACTGATCAAATTTTAAAGAGTTTGGGCAGCTGAAGGACCAGTGCTCTGCTGGATTGGTGAAGGCTGGAAACGTGCAGGAAGCACTGTCACTATCCAATAGCCACCAGTTAGCAAAACACCCCTGCTTTGGTTTAACTGTGTGCAAGCAAAACCTTTCAGGTGAGTCACCTTTCTTAGGTAACTTTCTATCTCAGGTCAGCAGGAGTTTTTTCTCACCCCATCACAACACCTGTCCTCCTCTGCAGCAAGAAGGGCCTGGGACAAGGGGACTTGCCAAACAAAAGGTTTATGCTAGGGGAGAAACTCGATCATTTTTATTGCAGACTAAAGAAGATGAAAAGATTTTCTATGGCTGGGGAATTCACCACTGTACCCTGTTGTCACACAGCAGTTTTCCCCCCTCCTATGTTATCCCACCACTGCTGATGGGCTCAGCCCTGGCCCGTGTGGGTCTGTCCTGGAGCCACCTGGAATTGGCTCTAGAGGATAAAGGGGAAGCTTCCGGGCAGCTTCTTACAGAAACCACCTCTGTAATCTTCCCACTACCAAAACCTTGCCATGCAAACCCATTACATGGACCAAGTAGCTGGGAGAGCCCCAACAACAGCTGCCACTGCCACCCTGCTCCCCTCCCCTCAGTGCCATACACTTCACTGCCAGCTCTTGAGAGAGTTTTGGGGGTACATGATACCCCCCCAGCACAAAAAAAACAAAATAGAAGTCAGATTCCAGGCTGAAAGTTTTCCATCATTGCTGTTAGAGTCTCACTGTTTAAAAAAAATACAGAAAGATCTTGTCTGTTGTGATATTTCACAAACAACAAATACATTTGTGATGATACGGGAAGAGACACCCCCAAGTGCTTCCAGAGCCAGGGAGATTATTTATAGACTCTTCCATGGTCTGTGGGACCTTAGCCCTCATTAAGGTCAAGCCCAATTACCTTACAAATAATTTAACCTCTACCCGCAGCTCCTTGACTCTGAACTGATAGATTATGCAGCCATTAATCAGCTCCAGGTCTGGCCTCTGCTTTTGACATTCAGAAGGTAAACTTACTTCATGCTGGTCCTCTTACTGAGTTTCTCAGATAGATTCATACTCAGAAAGAGAAAAAAAAAATCTAATTCCCTACTAAGCACTGATGCTTCCTGAAAGACTGAACACACCTTTTAATAACTTTGTTTGTAATGCACTAATTTCATTTTGCCTCTTCCCAAGGAGGCAGATTTCATTTTGATGGGCTGGACAACACGAGAGATAATTTATCACTGCACGTCTGGGTCTGTACTTAGTTGCAGAGCCATAAATTTGGGAGACAGCTCAGTAACTGATCTTCAGTTAATTTCCTGGAAAGTCTGAAAACTTTGTTCCGAGTGATCGCTGACAAAGATATAATAACAATAAAGCGACCCAAGATGGCCAAACCCAATTTAATAGTTTCCATAAAGATAATTTTTATCAGTGCTCTGTAGGACTTCATTTGCTGCTACAATAGCATTCCCCACATATAACCAGTGAAAATTCTGCTTTTATGTCCTGATCAGATTTGTTTGGCCTGGACTCCTGTAGCTATGTTTAGCTCTCAGATGCATGTCTTTAATAAGAAATAACTGCATATCCAGGGGCTGAACTTCACCCAGCGAGGATGTTCAGCGAGGTTTAATTTTGAGAGATGATCAAAGGCCATGGCCTTATAACTCAGTGCCTGCTCCAGCTCCCAACAGATGGTGGGTATACACTTGATATAAAGCTCTGACTTTCCATTACTGTCACAAGGCAGGCTGCAGAACCACCCTTTCTTCATTTGTCTTAATTAAAAATATATCTTCTGGCTCATGAAAAAAAAGAAAACTGCTTTTCATAAGTGATTAATGACCCTGCAGATATAGTCAATAGCCTTCCAGGGGCCTTTCTGCCCAAAGTCTTGCTTCAATTGCTGCCCTTTATATTAAAAAGTGTTGTGATTTCTACATTAAACCTAAAGGATTGGACACGAATAAAGAAAGAGGATTTAGGTATTTTAGGCATGTCCAGCTTTCTACGGGACATATGGAAAAACATTTTATAGA